TGGGGCCCGCGACCTCTCAATCGGTCTTGATGCCATGATAAATGGCTCCTTGTAGGAATTGGGGGAAGAGGGAGGCTGCTTCTCGGCTGCTCCGAGTGTGGCTCCAAGGCAGGCAGAGGGGTGATGGCTGTGGCTGTGCTGTGAGTGGCTGCAGCATGCCCAGGGGTTTGGGGGCAGGGTGGTACCCAGCTCAGGGGGTTTGCTGAAGAAAAGGACACACGCTCTGCAGCTGTCACGCTCCCGCCTCGGCGTGACGAGGGGCTGTGATTGGCATCCTGCTCTGACCTGGTGTGGTGCAGGCAGGTTTGCAGGGCTGGGATAACCCCAGGTAGGAGCAGGGTGGGATGTAGTTGGGTTCAGCCTCCATGGGACAAGGATCTGCCGTGCCCCAGCACTCCTATGCGCACAGACACGCATGGCCTGCTCTCTGTCTCACTGCCATGGGTCGCTCGCTGGCTTGCCCTGGCCCCTTGCGGTGGGTTAGGGGTGTCCCCCTGCCCACGTGCTGCGTGTCGGCTTCACCCTGCGATCCCGTGCTCGGACTGTATGCGGATTCCTGCGGCACAAGGATGCGCTTTGTCCCTCTCCCCAGTGCCAGTGTCTTTCTCTGCCTTTCCTCTCCCCAGAGGTCGGAGTGGGGGAATGATTGTGGATCCTCTCCGGTCTGGCTTCGCGCAGCCCGGCATTGACCCATCGTCAGGCATTCCAGGCCGGCTTCCCCCAGGAGCAGTTCCACCAGGCGCCAGATTCGACCCTTTCGGGCCGCTGGGAGCTGGTCGCTCGGGGTAGGTATCCGGTATTCCCAGCCGGCTCTCCAGCCTGGCTCTGGATCTCCTGCCTTGTCCCTGTTGCTGCAGGGCTGAGCTCTCACTTCTGATTTGACTCTGCTCTGCATTTCCGAGCTCTCACTCCCGGTTTGACTCCTGAATTCCTTTCCAGGCCAGATCCCGACCACCTTCCCCCTCCAGGCTATGACGACATGTTCATGTGAGGAGTCGCCGTGTCGCTTCTCATGGCCAGAGCAGTCTCCTGGGAAGCAGGATTGCTTCCTCCTCCTCGCTCCCCATCGGTGGACTCCAACCTGCCCAGCAGCATTTTTCCTCTCCTGCGTGTCAGACCGGCTATAAAGGTTTCCCTGTGTGCAGCTTGGAAGAGGAGGCAGTAGGTCCCTTTCTTTCCGTGCTCCCCTGAGGGTGCCCGGCTGTTTGGACTCCCCTGAAGTGGTGCTGCCCGATGGGGTGCGGCACTCTGAGCGTGGCCTGGGTGCTGTGGGGTTTCCTCTGCTTTTTTGGGGCGGTGGAGGAGCCGGCTTCCTGCCGCCCCTGTGCTGGGGACCCTCGCTGAAGGTGGCAGCGGGAGCAGCTCCCCACACAGAGATGGTTTCTCTCTCTTTATCCGAGCGAGGGGTGCGAAGGGCTAGAAAAGCCCGACCCACAGGGTCTTCTTGGGCAGACCCCCAGCGGCAGCTGAGCTCAGCTTCCACACGGCTGTGCCGTAGGGACCACCACCCGCCTTGGCGTGTGTGAGAGAGACACAAGGAATTCCTCACCCCTCTGTGCCCGCAGCCCCGTTGGGTTTCATTCCTGAGAGCGAGGGGCGCAGCGCGGGGCCGGGGTAGGCGGGAGGGTGCTCAGTGCCTACGCGAC